TCTCTCTCTCTCTCTCTCTCTCTCTCTCTCTCTCTCTCTCTCTCTCTCTCTCTCTCTCTCTCTCTCTCTCTCTCTCTGTGTGTGTGTGTGTGCCTATTTGATAGGAGTAACCATCTGCGCCGTTAGGAGAGGGTTTGACCAAGCGACCAATCAATGAATTCCTGTGGGCATGTCCAATTGGGGTAACAGATGCATTGTTGTTGCCATTGCTCTTAGTTCTTCATCGTGATAAGGTGTTCCTTTGGAATGTTTTGTCGTTCTTGGTGCCTGTCACTAGGCCGATGACAATCGAGGAGAAGAGGCAGCTTGGTCATAATCTGGGCAAATTGCCTCCGGACAGGCTAAACAGAGTGATTCAGATCATTGCGCAGAGTAATCCGAATTTTGACATGAAAGGAGACGAAGTTGAGGTTGACATCGATGCCCAGGTTGGTTTATTGGCCATTCCGCGTAAGCTGGTTGTTTTGCTGTTCAGTTGTTTGGGAATGGAATTCATTGCTCGCTTGATCAGTGCGACTTCTGTGGCCAACGAGTGTGCTCCATATGAGTCCGTGGTGAACCTTAGTGCCGTGAAATTAACAGTCTGATGGGTATTATACTCGTAAATCACCGCTGTATGTCAGTCTCCTGGACTCCAGGGGGACGCACTATTTATGTGGTCGCCCATAGGATGTTTGAAAGTTATTGCCTTCTTGGGGCTTTGCACCTCTGTGGGGGGTTATACAACTGTGTTTCAGTGCATTCATACTCCTTGTTTTTAGGTGTCAACGCTGTTGAGCTCCTTTAAGCTTTGATGTCAGCTTGGCAGCTGCAGTTAAGTCCTTTGATGGCTGTGATTGACTTCTGCTGCTCTACTTCCCATACTGAGAAACTCCTGCAGCTGACTGCCGGCCATACACTGCTCAATATCGCATATTACATCATCACAAAGTTTATTTTTATTCATCTGTGTTGGCCATGGCAAATGCTCTCTCAGAAATGAATGATGTTGACGAGATTGCTTCATGGCAGACTTTCCTCACCATGCCCAGCAAGAAGACACAGGGAGGAGAGACGAAAGGGAGGGAGGACGAGGGGACAGGTGGGAGAGAGGCAGAGGGAGCAGAGGGGGTGGAGAGAGAGAGAGAGAGAGAGAGAGAGAGAGAGAGAGAGAGAGAGAGAGAAGGCAGAGAGGTGCTGATCTATTTTGTCCGACCTTTGTTTAGTCTTTTGACGTACATCATTCAAAATTTACTTTCTGTAATCTTCAGTCTCTCTCTTTTTCTGAACTCGAGTTCTTTGCAGTTGATGGTGTCCTCTGTCCATGGTTTGTGTGTTTTATGCAAAGCACACTTTTCATATCTCTTGCTGTATGACAGGAGAACCTGTGCGTCGCAATCTTGTCTCTCACAAGTTGCCTTGATCTCTTGTCCGAAAGTCGCACCTCGCAAGTCACTGATGAGCCTCCTGCTGGTAACCTTCACCCCATGACAAAAAAGCATTGTGGAGGTACTAATATTTCTGTATGTATAGCCGTCACTACAAACCAATCATAATGGATGTTTTTAATTTTGATAAGCTCTTTATCTAGATATTAATAAAGAAAGCGGGTGTACTGTGTTTGATGCTCAGACCCCGGGGACTTTGTGGAGGCTCCACAGATTCGTCCAGAGCTGCTTAAGAGCACCTAGAGTGGCTGGAGCTGCGGCTGGGGGAATGCACCAGGGTCATGGACCGAGGGGTGGCGGCACTGGAGGCTCAGAAACAATGCAGAACGGGAGAGGTGCAGCAGCTTGTGGAAGGGGTGCAGGTCATCCAGGCAAGAGAGGTGGAGGCTCATCTGTGGTAGCTCCACAGTGAATGTATACCATAGTGAATGCACACATGCCCTGTGAAAGTTGGCAACAGCTAAGGTGGGTACCAATGTGGGATATCTTTGATGTCAGTTTATTTAATATTGCCTTGATGTCATCATTATAGGGTGGGGTTGGTCCCATTGTTGATGACTACCATTTTTCAGTCACCTGGTAGTCAACTGCCGGTTACTCATCTGGGTCTAGCTACCATGGACTTCACTGTAATGCGCGCTGTCCGTTAATGCAGTTCCTCATACGTAGGCAGTGTGAAACAACCGGTATGTTTCCCAGCTGTTTTGTTCCTGTGTGGCCGTTAGCTCTCTGGGGCTCGGACTACTGAAAGGAAATGGCTGGCGGTGCCAGTCAAAATTGTTTGGTTTCACCCCCACGCTGGTTAGACCAAACACGATGTATGGCAGAAATCGCCATTGGGAAAAAGAGGCCCAGTAGTACTATTGGTTTGAACATCGACGTTGTCAACGTGTGTCACGATGTGGCCCCAAGTGCCTATGATTTAACTGAAAGGGAGGCCTAGAACCAAGTGCTTTTCATTGTGCAGCGTTCACTATGTGTGTGCAGTGCGCAGAGAGAGAGAGAGAGAGAGAGAGAGAGAGAGAGAGAGAGAGAGAGAGAGAGAGAGAGAGAGCTCTGTGCATGTGTGTGTGCGCTTGGAAGCGGGAGTTAGGGCGGGTGCAGTCAAGATGGGACTTAACTGTAGTAGTAGCTCAGGGCAGAAGTAGCGAGGGCATGCAGGAAAATAGCATATTGAATTTTGAAGGAGTTTGTGAAAATGGATCGGAAGATTTAGTCTCATGGCAGAATAAGAGAGGGCGCAGTGAAAAACAATCTAAGTTTGCAAGGAGGGAATGGAGAATTTGTCTGAAGATGGAAGCTGCAGCAGCAAGTTTGTTTTGCAGATTTTTTGGTGAGGAGATCTGTGATAGTTTTTTGGGTGATTGGAGGACGGAGGCGAATGCACGACAAATGTGTTATGCAAGGCGCAGCAGCAACTCTCTTTTGCGGCATCTTTTGCCCAGGACATGATCTGTGCCCATTTTTTTGAGAGGTTGGAGCCAGAGAACTGGTGCAAGACAACTGTGATCAGAGAATGCAGAAAGAGAAGTATGCTTGTGGACAGCTTGCCAACAGTGTACCTATTTTCTGCGAGTCGTCCTCTTTTAGGTAAAGGCAAGGAGAACGGAGGAGAAGAAGTGGCTGAAATGTGAAATACGATTCAGGTGATCTTTTAGTTTGCCTATCATTACTGCTGCAGGGTCAAGTGGGGGTCATTCGCGCTAACTGTCAAATTCCTTGTGTGTGATGTGTTGGCCTATACCATCACATTTTTCCGAAAGCCATATTCCCCATGCAGATGTTTGTGGAAGCAGGGAATGACCGCTATATCGGTCTCACGCTATGCACATAGTTTATGGCTATCAATAATCAATCACAATTGTTTGTAGCTTTCTTGACTACGTAGTCAGATAGCTTTCTTGACTCAGTTCGAGGAGTCCGTGAGAGATACGGTCAACAAAGAGGATGAGGCAATGCCTTCTAGCAGAAGCTGACCTCAGTCATGGGTGAATTCTATCTGGCTGGAAGTTTTTCTCCAGTTTCGAGGTATTTTTCATTTGTTTGCTAGAGAGGTATATGTAGGCAGTGAAGATTGCATGGTTATGAACACAGGCAGCTGAAAGTCCTGGTCCGAAATGAAAGCTGCAACTCGCGATCGGCAGAGGGGACTGGAGCGCCCCAGGGCACAGATTTGACGGCGGGGACCAGTTTTTTTTTTGCGAAGGAAGCCTGGGGACTACCTGGGGAATACTGGATAGCAGTCTATTGCTGGTGGATACTGGTTATCTCAGTCATGAGTGAATTCTATCTGGCTGGAAGTTTTTCTCCACTTTCGAGGTATTTTTCATTTGTTTGCTAGAGAGGTATATGTAGGCAGTGAAGATTGCATGGTTATGAGCACAGGCAGCTGAAAGTCCTGGTCTGAAACGAAAGCTGCGACTCGCGATTGGCAGAGGGGACTGAAGCGAGCCCCAGGGCACACATTTGACGACAGGGACCAGTTTTTTTTCTGCAAAGGAAGCCTGGGGAATACTGGATAGCAGTCTATTGCTGGTGGATATTGGTTACCTCATGTGACGTGAAGTGCTGGTTTTGTCTTGGGCCAGCATTTCTGCAGCAGAAAGGTGCGTGAAGCTGTCTTTTGATGGGCTGAGGGATGTTGTCTCATGATTCGTCCATCGGGAGGAATTGATTTGCATCTTGCCTTGCCATGTCTGATTGCTGGTTGGGTCCCTGGGCCCAGCATTTCTGTGGCAGAAAGGCGCTTGAAGCTTGCTTTCTATGGACTGAGGAATGTTGTCCCGTGATTCGTCTATTAATAGGGAACGATTTGCAACTTGCCATGTTTGTCGGTTGAAGTCTTTGAAGACTGGTTATTTCTGGAAAGGTGGCTGCAATATTCAGCACCAACGCTGCCAAATGCCATCAAGTGGTGTTCTGGTACTCCATGCATGAACCTCGTAGGATAGGAGTCGAAGCAGATGGTTTCTTAAAGCATGAAAGGTAACATTAGCCTGGTAGGATAGGAGCTAACACGGATGGTTTCTTAAGCATCAGAAGACATTGGTTGCCAAGCGCCAAACAGCGTTTTAAGCAGTATGCAGGAAGAAGGTCAGACCAGGCGAAGGCTCTATCTGCACACTGAAAAGGAGATTACTGTCCTTCCAGGCCTGTGTGTGTGTGTGTGTGTGTGTGTGTGTGTGCGTGTGTGTGTGTGTGTGTGTGTGTGTGTGTGTGTGTGTGTGTGTGNGAGAGAGAGAGAGAGAGAGAGAGAGAGAGAGAGAGAGAGAGAGAGAGAGAGAGAGAGAGAGAGAGAGAGAGGGGCAAGAGGGAGGAGGGGGGGGGGGGGGGGGGGAGGAGGGGAGGAGGCAAGTAAGGGTAGCTGCAGGTAGGGAGCAAGAAAAGGAGGCTGCAGGTTGGGAGGCAAAGCGATGGGAGTGAATGGTTCAGAGGTGGAGAATAGTTACTTGCTTTTGATTGATTGATTGTAGATTTGGAGTTTCAATAAGTACTATGATCATTTGCTTTTCGTTGGTTTACAGTTTTTACTCCACATCTGGTAGTTGGCTTAGAAAGAAAAGCATGCTTTAATCAAATGGATGTGATGAGGTTAAGCAGGTATGAGTCTGCAACATCTGGCACTGCTTCATCACTCTCGGTGTAGCGCAAGACTTTGAGTGTGTGACCTATGTAGCAAAGAAGTGTAGAACAATGTTATTCTCGCAGCATGGTATAATCACTGTCAGCTTTGCTCCATCTGAACGGAGGACGTGCCATTCTGGATAATGGAAAGGAAGAGTGTTGGAATAGGTGGTGTGATTCATTGAGTTGGAACTGTTCGAGTGACGTCAATTCATTCTCACTGCCCTTCTTTGACGGAATGTGGCGTTCACAAACTCTGCCGCATTATGCCTCTGGTGGAAGGTCTGGTTTATTTCTAAGCTCTGGTGCGTGAAACAGGTGAGGAAGGAGAGAAGGAGGGAGCTGTGGAAGAGATGGGCATGTGGATTGCTGAGTTGGTTGTCGAGTTACGGTTGCAGGCTTCACCATGTAGATTGCTTTCTGGCTGAAGTCTTCCGCTGAAGTGGTCATCATAGCTGTGTTTCTCGTCTTCTATCCACAACAGGTTGACACACTGCTCTATATCACATGCACGCACGTATTGCTTGTCCCTCCTTCCTCCTGTCCTCCATCCATCCATAGATTCCATAATTCCCCCCTTTCCCTGCTTTCCCCCTCCCTCTGCTCCCTCCCTTTGCTTTTCCTCCCCTACCCTCCCTTCCCTTCCCCCTCTTCCCCACTGTCCTTCGCTCCCTCTTTGTTTTTGCATTGTCGCTTCCTTCTGCCCTCCCTCCCTTCCTTTGTGTCTTCACTTGCAATCTCTTTGCTTTTGCATTGTTGCTTCCGTCTTCCCTCCCTCTCTCCCTGCTTGTCAGTCAACCTTTGGTTCTGCTGCTCTCCATGCATCGCTTCCAGTGTCCCTCTTTCTTGGAATGGTGGTCTTGTTTTTGAATGATACTGAGGGTTTGTAGTGCTTGCTGGCAGAGGGAAAGGAAACTAGGTCATCGTACATAAAAAATATGATGCTAAGAAAATTGACTAGTACCTCCACCAGTGTCGGGAAAATAGGGAAAAGTTGCAGTTTTCCCAAACTCCTATTTCGGAGGCGGGGCTCGACGATGGCTGCCATTGATAAATCTGATCGTCGGCCGTCGTTTCGTTTTGGCCTCCGAAAAGGTTGGAGGCCGACCCGAGGCCTGCTATTTTCCCATGCAGCGAAGGTACTGATGGTCGGCCGTCGTTTCGCTTTGGCCTCGGATAAGGTTGGAGGCCCCCGAGGCCCGCTATTTTCCCACGCGGCAGAGGTACTAGTGGTTTGACGAGAATTTGGCTGTTCCCTTGATAAATGAAACTAGGCAGGCCGTTGCTTTGGCATACATCGGTGAACTTTATAGTCTTCGTGAAAATCTTCCCTCTATCTACGACTCCCTTCTTTCCTTCATGTCCCCCCCCTGGCACGACTTTTGAGATTAACGTGCCTTGAAGAAAGGCAAGGCCTTGAGGCTTGAACATATGCATGATAGTGCATCATAATTCAGAACAGGTCTGCCGTTTGTTTAATCGAGGATACGTGGCTTCTACGATATTTTTATTGTCTATGCTATATATATTTAATCGAGGATATGCGGCTTTTATGATTTTTCTGTTGTCTCTGCTATGGCCATGCTCACAATGATTGTGTTTATGGGTTTGTCATCCTTGATGACACCTTCCTTCTTATCTTCTAGGTGCCATTCTAACTCTCTTCTCCCCTCATTCGCATGTACTTCATGCCTTATTTTCCACTATCCTATTCATCATCATCAACTTCTTCCTTATCGTTATCCTTATCGTTATCCTTATCGTTATCCTTATCATCATTCTGTATGGCTATCATATGATCGCATTGGCTGTCGAGCTATCCCGGCCGCATCATACAAGAGTTGGACTTGGAACAATGCAACACCGCACATCGTTCGGATATGATTCTTGCTACTTAGTCAAGTTCCCCGACCTACCTCTCATGGTCCCCTGTGATACTATTTTCCTTTCCTAAGGGGCTGTCACTACCCTGAGGGGTTTATCCCTACCAAGCTATCGGTCTAGGTATGACAACTTTTACTCGCACTCGCAGAGGTTAATGAGTGGAAGGTGTTTCTGCGTTTCGCTGTGGTATATGTATGCGTGGTTAAAATGTCGATCAAACACAAATGTTGCGTGTTCCCTATGGAGTTGATCGGCTATTTCGGGCTCACGGGACCAGCTGTGACCACTTGGGAGGACTGTTATTTATTTTTTAAGTTGTACAACGTTGGGTTTTGTGTTGTTTAAAGGTCAACTCGTGGTCTGGAAGCTTTCTGTCGAAAGGCGCGAGTCAATGTGCTCGACAGGTGGCGTCATTGCTGTAAAACAAAATAACAATCTCTCTCTGCCTCTGTCTCTCTCTCACTCTCTCTCTCTCTTTTCTCTGTTCTCTCTCTCTCTCTCTCTCTCTCTCT